GCCTTGTTGTTGTTTTTTTTTTACTTCTGACAATGCTTTCGATGACCAAAAATGGACATGATACCGCTGATATCAGTATTCCCCTTGAGTCAAAAATCGATCTGTTCGAAAATTTTTCACATAATCATGTACAGCGCCCACGGTCCCGTCTGTTTCGTTTCATTTGGACCAGCCTGTATATTAATTGTATTAAAGGCCCTAGATACCTACATAAAGAACAGCACTGTACCAATGTATTGAAAAGAGATGATATGATTTTTGCCCAAAAATGGCATCGATATGTCAGCTGCTCTGCAAAATCTCAGATATCGTTAAAGAATTTGACGTGGTTAGTTAGTTGTTAGGTAGTTTCATGAATAAATCTCATTAAAAAATTGGTTATCTGCTTTATAAAAATGTCCGGTTGTTGTATATTAGGATGTAAACGCAATAGTGCAATCGGTACAAGATTATTTTGTTTACAAAGTGGTGAGAAAAAAATATAATTATATAAAAAAAAATACTTTCTGCATAATGTTTAATGTCGCACCGTCATATTCTCCAATACCAAAGCCGCACTATTTATTTTAATTCAATTCATTTTTTCATAAATTCACAGTTGTAATAAATGCAAATCAAAAATAATTACGCATTGAAACATGATAGAAATCATTTCTTATAATATGTTCCAATGACAATGTGAATGTCTAACAATTAGGTACATTAATTAAATTTGATGCAATCTGAATTTCAACTGACGATGACGTTTCTGAAATAGAATTAGTTAATCTGGATTTCAGGTGATGCTTTCTGAAATAGAACTGATTAATCTGAATTACAATTTATATCATTTGAAGTCAACTTCATATTCTACAAAATACAATTGGCACTGGTGTAGACCACAATTTCAAGTTGGACTCTTACTGTTTTGAAACTGGATACCATTCAAATAATTGCAATAATTTAAAGTTGGTGGGTAGTTTTTCCAGAAAACGGCGGATGATTGCGGTACTTTATGATATATATCTAGGGACTTTAAATTGCATTAAACAACAGCACCATCTGGTGAAAATTTTGTCGAACTATTGCGTGTGTTTGTGCTTGTGTTTAGGTAGTTTCCACCTCCGACCAAAAATGCGCCAAATCATAGAAAACACCACTCACTACTCTAAAACCACGTAAAACGTTTTGACGTATTCGCCTTCGATATCGAAAGTAATGATTTAGCATTCAGAGGTGTATGAGTACTAAATGCATACACAAAAAACTTAGTACAAGTTGAAGTTGTTTGTAGAATTCCTTCAGAACTGAAATTTGAAAATTTTGAAATCGTAACAGACGCTAAACACAGAGTTTTTAATAAAATTAAAATAATCATTCAGCTTTCGACATTAATCTCAAAGATATTAATCTTAACTTGGCAATGCATCGTCATACATACAACTGTACTTTTTGTTTGCTTATAAAATTGTTTAAGCATGCATTTGTTTTACTGGAAGTTTCGTTCGACACACATATTTCTTTTTATTAATTTTATGTGATATATCTATAAGCATAAAATAACGGTACATGGTTTTATAAAATTTGAACCAACAGGGTTTCTTCTTTATTTTTGACTCTAAGGAAATTACGATATAATAATAAGATTTTTGAGCCTCAAATTCCAAAATTCATGAAACAGATTTCAATTTTTGTCTCAAAAAAAAATCAATAAACAAAAAAATTACGAATTTAACAAAAAAGTGTACAAAGACATTTGCATTTTTGTAAATTGTAAATATGTTTGCTGCAGTAATAACACAAATTTTTGATGCACATCCTAAACTAGACGTAATTTTTCGTATGCACAAACAGATTTGTCCAAACATACATGCTGATTTATTGTAACATGTAGTCTGAAACCATGTTGAGCTATAACATCACGATCAACCATACTCGTATATAAAATTACTTTGACTTGATTGAAAAAATCTGTTTGTACGAACAATTTATACAAACATTTTATTATGTGTAGGGACGATTTATCTAAGCACATACAATTAACTCAAACTATTAAGTCATATTTGTTGCTACATGTAGTGCTGTAGTTATTTTGTATGTCCATTTTGTTGGTACATACAAATACAGCAAACTTGTTTTTACGTCTAAGGGGCCCCTAACAAAATAATATATTAAAATTGTCCCCAAATTCGTTAGTGAACGAACATAGCGGAACTTCGAACGCTGTAAAAAATGTTTGAAGTGAAAGATGTAAACAGAGACGAAGGACATATTATGGATGTTGCAAGTATGTATACACGCACACTGCGACGGACCTAACTGCATTCATTCATCGAATGATCGAAAATCAAAATATTGGTATTGGTTAACTTTCCTTTAATACTCGCGTTAAATCAAATTGTATAAAAAAGACAAACTTTCTCTACTACAAAATATGTAGTAAGTAATATAGAGTTCATTAAAAATTTGCTTGATGATTGCAATAAACATAGTTTACAAATGTCTATATGTAGATTATTTAATTGTTTTTTAAATTTGTAATTTTTTTTTATTGCTCTTTTTTAACACGAAATATCCATGAATTTTGAAATTACGGTCAAACAAATCTTATTATTATATAGCAGAATCAGTTTTTGTTAATTTGGTTTTTTATAAAACATGTATTTCTTTCTTGAAAGTTGAATGTGAATCAGACAACCTGTAACAAAAATGTTGTTATTTTTCTCTAAATATCAAGTAAAATATATGTATAAAATGAAGCATACAGTAAAAGAAAATGTTACAAATTGCAAAGCAACAAATTGCAGTTGTATGTATCTGTCTTATTAGATACATAGCTAAGTTAAAATAGTTGATGAACATAAAAGAAAAATGCATATCTAAAAATGCTAAAGAAAACAAATAATTACTAGCTACCTGACGATTACGCTGGAAATAGTAATATACATTTTTTTGTGGCTCTATTGTATTCCACTAAAGTTCAGAGATTATTTTGAATTTGACTACTCATCAGTTTTGTTTATGTGGTTATCAAGTTATTTGTCTCGAATACTTATAAGATACAAGTAAATGAATAATTTGTTTTCTATTTATCATGGCTACTCTTCTTTATCTGTCTGTCCGACAAAGGTTGTAATTATTTTAATGCAACACCTACTCATCAATATGTCAAAAACTTTAAAATGTAAATTTAATCATTTTGCCCTAAAATGAATTTGTTTCCAAATAGAAATAAATGGGTACATTGTCGTTAAAATGTTCTTGTTGTACCTACTAACTTTAAAGAAATCGAATTTGCAAAATATTTAGTGGGACTTTAAAACACTGAAATATTTTGCTCGTAGTTTTAAAATTAAAACAAAAAGAAATAAATGATTGAACGAATATTACTGAGAACCTTATTGTGTTGTTGTGTTATTGTTAAAAAAAAAATTCCCGATGTTAATGTCATACATTGTATGTACGTGTATTGAATCGTCACATAAGTATTCATTTAAAATATTTAAAAATTCATACCAGTAGATTATGATGTTTCGCAAAACATAAAAATATCTACATTTGCTGCAAAAATCTATTGCATGACCATATTCCAACTGTATTGTAAATTTAAAAAATTTTTTTAGTATCAAACATAATTAAATAACTAGGTATTTCTTAATACAACAAAAAAAATGTTGCATGCCAAAATCAAGTGAAATATGTGAGATATAAATAAAAGTTTGCCAGTTAACATATATACCAATAATGTTCATTTTCTCGTTATAAAACCCTACCAAATAATAGATGGGCGGCAAAAGTAAGTTTGTACACATCCGGCCGAACTCCTCAGCAAGGCTTCCACCCTGCAGTGTGGTGGCGTTCTTCAAACCCATAGATCTGGTAACAGCGCTTTAGATTTACTCCACCGGTACATGTCACAGTCTACATATATACGAAAACCAGCTGGTGCTATGTAACAGGAGGTAGAATCATTTCAAACACATTTTCAACTTTTGCATAATAAAAATATAGTAATATATCTAATAATAAATTCTTGTTTAGCTTCAAAATAAATAAATAAAACTTGTGTATGTGTCGCGTCGCCGCCGCCATCGCCCGCCGCCGCCCTCGTGCCGTTCGCCCGGATCCCGCCGCCGCCGCCCGCGTCCCGTCGCCGCCGCCCATGTCCCGCCGCCGCCCGCGTCCCGCCGCCACCCGCCCTCCCGCCGCGTTCGCGTACCGCTAGGATTTCAGAAGGTGAAAGCGCTAGCATTTAGACCAGCAATGGACCAGCGAAGATTTATGACCCGCTTGGATTTGAGACCCGCTAGGATTTACCACACCTCGAATACTTAAGGACCGCTACTAATTAAGGGTAATTAATTATCGATTAAATCTCATTTAATATTCACGCTAATGATTAAAACCCTCTAATAATTAATTCCCCATTCTAAAAAAGTATACAAAATTGCAATTGCCATTGTATCGTGCTTGTGCCCCTTTATAGGTGTTCCGAATAATCATTTAAGAAGTGAAAGCGCTAGTCTTTTAAACCCGCTAGTATTTTACACCGCTTGGATTTACACGCACCCCGAATAACCCTTGAGCGAGGGAAGTATCGGCATTTATGACCGCTAGGATTTCGGAAGGTGAAAGCGCTAGCATTTTGACCAGCAATGGACCAGCGAAGAATTACGACCCGCTTGGATTTGAGACCCGCTAGGATTTACCATACCTCGAATACTTAAGGACCGCTACTAATTAAGGGTAATTAATTATCGATTAAATCTCATTTAATATTCACGATAATGATTAAACCCTCTAATAAATTAATTCCCGAATCTAATTAAGGCCTAAACACACTTATTAAACATATTCCCATAATTAAAATCGAATTTAATCGATAATTAATTATGCATTAATTAACTCTAATTACTAGCGGTCCTTAATTACTAGCGGGTCTCAAATCCTAGCGGTTTTTTCAAGGTCGCTCAAATCCTAGCGGTTTTTCAAGGTCACACTAATGGGTCGCTGTTACTACTCACGACTCAATATCGCAGTGGTTCTGGCCCCTCAAAATTTTGAAAAACCCGTCCAAGTCAGCCCATCCACTACCCCAAGAGTTGGCAATCAGCCAATACGGAGTACCATTTTCGGTACCCCAGCCGATAATCTTGACAGCATGGCCACCAGCTTCATCCCCAGACGTGTGCACGTAAACACCTGACTTGTAGCTGTAGAAGTCATTGTAGACAGTCAGATAGACCTCCACAGGCCCATTTTGCATAATGTCAGTTTGAATTTGCCCAACGTCATTGGCAAGTTGGTACCAAGATTTCCCATAGTGCTTATCCGCGCTGTACGAAGTACCGTAGTTGGTGTTAAGACACGTGTTGGTGCAAGAGGGGGTTACACCATTTTGGTAAGCTTCAGCTTGGTACGGTTGGCAACCCTGTTTGGGAGTCAATTTTAAGAACTAGATTTGCGGAAATAGTGACTTACTTCGTTGGAGTTGTAGTCTCCACCAGAGACGAGTCCGTTTTCGACCCAGTAGTTCCAAGCCCGGTCCATGTAGCCTCCACTGCACCCTGACGAAGCGCAGTCTTCGCAGCAGCTTATGAGCTCTTCGGGTGAGGCTTTGAATTTGATGGCACCATTGGAGGCGATGCAGGTTCTGTCGGTGATGGCTTCACTAGCAGCGAAGGCCTAGACATTTCATTAGATGAATTTTTTTGACTTTCTGCAAGGTTTTTTCTTACCCAACAGCTACCACAAGCTCCTTGGTCTCTAATGTTTTTCAAAGACTCGCATTGGGACCAGTAGGTACGACCATCGAACGTATCTGGAATGTCCTCAGGTACCACCTTGTGTATTTTGATTGGTACTTTTTTGTTTCCTAGTGGACGGAAAGTTCCAGCCAGACGTTTCAGTTGTTCCACTGGGGTATCTTCAGGGAAGTTGCGTCCGGCGACCCAAGTGGTCTGCTTGGCGTTGATTTCGTCGATGAATTTGTCAGACAGGTGGTCGACTTTGGCCCAACTGAGGGACGACAAAGCCAAAATTACGGCGACTTGGAGTGTAGGGTTCATTTTCGGGTACTACTTCTGTGTGATGAACACTTGTCTTTATATAGTTGCACGAGTAGTACTTCAGCTTGTAGCACTTCAGTTTGATAAAATCGTGACGTTAGACTCTTTTTATACTAGAAGTAGTTGTTTACGTCACGTAAATTTTTTTGGTCAATGTCTAAATAAATATTATAGTGAAAACTAATACAAGTTTCATCAGAAAAAATCTAGGATTGACATAATTTGAGTGTTATTTAATTGTGTTGAAATATTATAATTTAATTAAACTATTTGTATCGATTGTAATCTTGTCTGACTAATTTTTATAGTGCGTATTTTTTTCTAATCTTATTGTTTTGTAATATAAATAGAATGTACACAATGTAATCGCAAAAATGGATTTTTGTACCTCGTGGAATATTTCATGGATACAAAGTGTTATCCAAGTTTAGATCTACATTATTAAATTATTAGATTCTTTAAGAGTTGGCAAATTTAAGACCCGATTTAACTTTTATCTGCGGAACAAACACCTAATTTCTTCAATTATAACGCAATTACCGGACTATCGTGGTTGCAAAATTCATCAATAATAGTTTCATGTGTTTATTTTATTTATCTGGTATTAGCGATCGATTTTTTGGTTTCCACATTTCGGAAATCGCATCAAACTGGGCTATTTTGACGAATTTCGACTTTCGTGTTTTCTAGACGTTTTATGACCCCTAGAGATAAAAAAAATGTTCTGCCGTTGCGCCTGTCTGTCGTCTGTAATTTTTTTTTATACTCCTAGACATGTATTTTTAGAATTTTTAAAATTCTATAATAACACTGCAAAACCCAGTGCTTTGAAATCTTGCAGACGTTTTAAACTTACCGTGAACATGGTAAATATTTTGATGTATGTGTTGATGATGATTTTATAATCATCCAATTTTTTTTCAATTTTAATTGTTGAAGTTTTTGAATTTTCAGCTTAATTATTTGATAATTTTTCGTTTTTTAAGTTATCCGAATTTCATTGTTTCGATTTTCAATTTTCCAAGTTTTTGAATATCCAATTTCATAGTTTTGAATTTTTTCGATTTTTCAATTCTGTAATTTATCAATTTCAAAATTATACGATTTTTCAGTGTTATATGTTTATGGTTTTTCATTTTTCAATTAATAATTTTACAATTTTCCATTTTTACAATTTAATAATTTTTCGATTTTACATTCAACCAATTTTTCAATTTTGTAATATTACAAATTTCCAATTTTTTGATTTTTAATTCTCCAAATTTCAATTAAACTTTTCAAGTTTTTGATTTTTCAACTTAATTATTTTACAGTTTTTCGTTTTTAAAGGCGCGATTTCCCAATTTTTCGATTTTAGGCGCTTTTGATTTTTCAATTCCACATTTTTACTATTTTCACGTTTGTTAGTTATTCAATTCAATCAATTTTTGATTTTTCAATAATCCGAATTTCAAAGTTTCGATTTTCCATTTTGTTGATTTTTAATTTTTCGAAATTTCGGTCTTCAATTTTTAAATTTTGTAATTTTGCGGTTTTACAATTATCCGATTTTTCAGTCTTTCGAATTTAGAATGACTTTCGATTTTCAATTTTATATTTTTGCTTTTTTTCAGATTTACACTTTTTCGATTGTACAATTATCCAATTTCGTAATTTTGCAATTCTTTGTACAGTTTTTCAATATCTCGATTGTTCGATTTTTAATTTAATAATTTTGGAATTTTTCATTTTTACAATTTAAACATTTTTCGATTTCACTTTCAACCACTTTTTCAATTTTGTAATTTTACAAATTTCCAATGTTTTTTTTATTTTTAATTATTCAAATTTGAATTAAAAGTTTTTGATTTTTCAACTTTTCGATTTTACACGTTTTTGATTTTTCAATTTTACATTTTTACAATTTTCAGATTTGTTATTTATTTGGTTATTCAATCAATTTCTCAATTTTCCAATTTTATAATTCTTCGTTTTTTCAATTATTCAATTTTTGATTTTTAATTTTTCGAGATTTCGATCTTCAATTTTTAAATTTTGTAATTTTGCGGTTTTACAATTATCCGATTTTTCAGTTTTTCGAATTTAGAATGACTTTCGATTTTCAATTTTCAATTTTTGCTTTTTTTTTAGATTTACACTTTTTTTCGATTGTACAATTATCCAATTTCGTAATTTTGCAATTTTTTGTACAATTTTTCAATATCACGATTGTGCGATTTTTAATGAATCAATTTTTCAATTTTCGTTTTTTAGTTGTTCGATTTTTTAATTTAATAATTTTGCAAATTTTCGTTTTTACGATTTAAAAATTTTTCGATTTCACTTTCAACCACTTTTTCAATTTTGTATTTTTACAAATTTCCAATTTTTTTATTTTTAATTGTTCAAATTTGATTTAAAAGTTTTTGATTTTCCAACTTTTCGATTTTACACGTTTTTGATTTTTCAGTTTTACATTATTTGGTTATTCAATCAATTTCTCAATTTTCCAATTTTATAATTCGTCGGTTTTTCAATTATTCAATTTTTGACTTTTCAATTATCCGAATTTCAGTTTCTCTTTTCAATTTTTTAAATTTTTAACTTTTTCGGTTTTACAATGATCTGATATTTCAGTTTTTCAAATTTAAAATGACTTTCGATTTTCAATTTTGTGTTTTTGCATTTTTTCGGATTTACAGTTCAATAAATTTTTCGATTTTACAATTATCCAATTTCGTCATTTTGCAATTTCTATACAATTTTTCAATTTTGTGCGATTTTTAATGAATCAATTTTTCAATTTTCATTTTAACAATAATTTTTGATTTTTCAATTATCCGAATATCTTTGTTTCCATTTTTTCCTTTTTGATTTTTAATATTTCAAAATTTTGATTTCCAATTTTCCAAGTTTTTGATTTTCCAATTTCATAATTTTACACTTTTTCGATTTTTCAATTTTGTAATTTATCCATTTTGATTTTTCAATTATTCAATTACAAAATTATGCCATTTTTCAGTTTTGTATGTAATGTTGCACTTTTTTGAATTTTAGTTTTATATTTTTGTAATTTTTCAACTTTTCAATTATCAAATTTTCCAATTTCTGGATTTTTCAAGTTTTCGATCTTTTATTTTTCAAATGTTCGATTTTTGAATTTAATAATTTTGTAATTTTTCATTTGTACAATTTGAAATTTTTTCAGTTTTACGTTCAACCAATTTTTCAATTTTGTAATTTTACAAATTTTCAATTTTTTTGATGTTTAACTGTTCAATTTCAATTTAAATTTTTCAAGTTTTTAATTTTTTAGTTTAATTATTTTTCAAATTTCCTGTTATAAAGCCATCCGAATTTCATTGTTTCGATTTTCTAATTTTTTGATTTTTTTTAATATCTCAAAATTTCTATTTCCAATTTTCCAAGTTTTTGATTATCTTATTATATTTTGCACTTTTTCGATTTTTCAATTTCAAAATTGTACCATTTTCCAGTTTTGTAATGTTGCAATTTTTTACTTTTGTTAGTTTCTAATTTTAAAAATGTTTCGACTTTTAAATTGTCCACAATTTTTGATATTTCAGTCATCAGATTTTCCAATTTTTCAATTTTTCGGTTTTAGAAACCTTGGATTTTTCAATTTTTCATGTTTCAATAATTTTTTAGTAATTTGGAATTTTTTAATTGTACAATTGAAAAATTGATCCTTACACTCAACCAATTCTTCAATTTTGTAATTTTACAAATTGTCAATTTTTTTATTTTTAATTGTTCAAATTTCAATTAAAATTGTTCAAGTTTCTGATTTTTCACTTTAATTATTTTCCAATTTTTCGATTTTAAAGGTATTCGATTTTCCAATTTTTCGATTTTACTTTTTTGCAATTTTCTATTGTGAGAAATGAAATTGATTAATTAAAAACCGGATAATTAACAATTTTCAATTTTATAATTGTTCGATTTTAACTTTTTTTGTAATTATTCAACTGTTGATTTTTCAATTATCCGAATTTCATTGTTTCGATTTTCAATTTTTGATTTTTCAATTTCATAATTTCGCAGTTTCTCGATTTGTAAATTGTGTAATTTTTCGATTTTACAATTATCTGGTTTTCAAGTTTTCCATTTTAAAATTATTATTCGATCTTTCAATTTTTCAGATTTACATTTTAAGAATTTTTCGATTTCACAGTTATCCAATTTTGTAATTTTGCTATTTTTGTTTTTTGAGTTTTATATTTTTACATTTTTTCCATTTCTCAATTGTCCGTTTTTTTAGGACCTTTCCATTTTCAATTTTATAATAATTTTTTATTTTTCGATTATCCGAATTTCGTTGTTTAGATTTTCAAATTTTTTGACTTTTAGTTTTTCAACATTTTGTTTTCAGTTTTTCACGGTTTTGAATTTTCAATTTTATAGTGCAATTTTACAATTATCCAATTTTTTTATTTTAAAATTTTCAATTCTTGATTTTTCAATTGTTTTCAACATTTCAGTTGTAGAATTTTTCGATTTCAAAATTTTAAAAAAATATAGGGTGTCAAAAAAATAATTTCTTACACTGTTACTGGTCTTGTCTATATTTGTTTCAATGTATAGATCCCACCAGAAACAAGAAATCGCAAAATAAAATTTTATAAGTTTTCAAAGACGCAGGATTTGTTGTCATTTTTTGATGTTTTGCTTTCTCTTCTGTTATCTTAATGCAAGCACTCCAAGCCCTGATTAAAATTTATCACTCAATTGGAACATTAATTTTATTTTTTAATAGTGAACAGCAGTCAATTGCCACTTGATCTATTTATTTACGAAAAATTTTCAAAGTCGACGTTATTACGACCGCAATATGTTCCGGCCGATTACTTATATAAATAACATGTTAGCGATCGCCGACGTAAACAACGCAGGAACGGAAAATACATGCACGCGTATTTTTAAACAAAAATCGCTGGAAAATCCGTGCCTAATCATTCACGTAATTTTAGGCAACCAAATGATAAATATTTAGGTTTGTAGCTCAAACATTTCACGCGGAATTGAATTGCAATTAAAGCGATGGTGTGCATTTTCCAAGTAATTTTCATATTGTAAACTTATCTGGATCGTGTAAACCCTGTGTAGAATTTATTGGTTGATAAAAATCTACACTCGATTGATAATGATAACACCGACGACTATTTTCGAATGACCGCCGTCTTTGACATTTGACCCTTCACACTGACTCATGCCACTACTAATGAGGAAACTCTTAATATTTGCAACTTAAATTAAACATCTTTAAACAAAGAACTTCATTTACGTAAACACAGTTAAACGCCAGCTTTATTGGTGCCAATTGACTAAACATTTAATTTAAAACGGTAAATTTAAACTTGTAGTGGTTTATGAATCCGCCGACAACATCCACTTGATTTCTAGCTAATCAAAAAAAATTGTGATAAACCGATAAAAGTAACTTGAACAATTACAGGATATTGATTTGTGTTATCAGAATTTTTACATAATTCGCGCTCACACTTATTCTGTCCTTGACATTTGACCCGTCCTTCTGACTCACGTAGGAGTAATGAGGAAACTGGTAGTGGTAATTTGAATGAATTAAGAAGTTACACAAATTTTTTTATTAACTGACGAACTATTTCATTTATATCAGCAAATTTAGACTTCTGGGTCTCCAAAGTTGATATCGTCTTCGATGGAGCAGTGGTTTTCGCCTCTGAGGATCTTGAAAAATCCTCCCAGTTGGCCCCAGTCGGCGCCCCACGAGTTGGCAATCAGCCAATAAGGAGTACCATTTTCGGTACCCCAGCCAACGACTTTGACTGCGTGTCCACCGGCGTACTCACCATAGGTGTGTTGATAGACACCTGATTGGTAGTCAAAGAAGTCGTCGTAGACGTCATAGCTGGCCTCCACTGGCCCATTGGTCATAATTTCGGCTTGGATTTGCTGCACGTTGCGACTAATTCCGTAGCTCTTGACACCATAGTGTTTGTCTTGATTATACGCTACATTGTACTGTGAATTCGTACATTGGGATTCACAGCGTGGGGTCTGGCCGTTGTTGTACGCTTCAGAAGGATAAGGTTGACAACCCTCATTGGAGTTGTAGTCTCCTCCAGAAACAATACCATTTTGGACCCAGTAGCTCCAGGCCTCGGAAGGCCAGCCACCGTCGCACCCATCACCACAGTCGTAGCAACAAGACACCAGATCTTCTGGTGCGAACTCGAACTCGACGGCGCCGTTGGTGGCAATGCAAAGACGGTCGGTCATGGCTTCGACAGCTCCGAAGGCCTGTAATTTCTCTTAGATTTGGTCTAACAGTAATCGATTTTGTCTTACCCAACAAGAGCCACATTGACCTTGGTTTCTGACTTTGTTGATTGAGGGGCACTCTGGCCACTCGTCTCTGGCGTCGAAGGATTCCGGGATGTCGGCAGCCACCACGTCGTGGATTTTGACTTTGCTGTTGCGGTGGCCTTTACGGGCTCCATTGAGGCGTCTCAGTTGCTCGATTGGAGTGTCTTCGGGGAAGTTTCTTCCGGCGACCCAAGTGGACTGTTTTTCGTTGATGATCTTGATGAACTCGTCGGAGTGGGGTTTGACCACGTTGGTTGAGACGAGGGTGGCAAAAAGTGCCAGTACTAGAATGGTGATCTTCATGTCTTTGATTCAGCAGGACAGTTGAGAGTGTGTTGCGGGTTAGACGAGTCGGTCTTTTATACTTGGTTGATATCAGATGAGTGCAATTATGACTTAGTAATTTTTCATTTACAATAACGGGAAGGATTGAATTGACAGAAGTGATGCGATTAGAGATCTCAAGAGGATTCTTCCTTGAAACGTATTGATTTTTGAAGTGTGTTTTTTGATGATTTTGAGATATCGCTATTGTGCTGTGTCGAAAATTAGGGTCGAAGGGTGAGTGTCCAGACAACTTATTCAAGTCGATAATCTCACAGATAACGTTTCTGCACTTGATTCTTCAAGGTCGGTCGAGTTTTGCAAAATTCTAAAAAAAAAAAACGTTGTAAATCAACATGTTTTTTTGGTATTAAATTTTGCCGGAAGATCGTGTTCGGAACGTGACGCATTAATTATCCGCGTCAAAGGAGTTAATTAATACAAACTGACAAACTTTTCTAATTAATACTTTTAAAATCTTGCCATGTCTTGGACAGTATCAAACCCCCACAAAACCGTTTTCCGTTCGTTGTAAACCGACCCAAAAACAACTTCGCCCCAATTCACCCACTTCTTTTATTTTCTGTTTCATTTATTCAGCTAAAACGATCAGTTAGTGCCTTGAATAATAAATGTATTTGAAAATTGAGATCGATGCGGATGGTCGATCACGCAAACGTTACCCCGTAATGCAGTTTTGCGCCGAAGGACGCTCCTTAAACGTGTATTGTGTTACCCGTCGAATTTATTTCGTCGTCGTTATCAGCGCGTTTTATCCTGGGGAAGGATTTTTCGGAGGAACGCAGGACTCGCCATCGATCCACTGTGTGAGCATTCAATTCGGATAATTGAAGCGAGCGGCATCAACTTGTTACTTACTGCGTAATTCTGTGAAATCAATTATACGCTGCAGGAAATTGGTAATTAAACGCGTGTCGATAAGCGTGAACTAGTCGTTACACCGTGGCGGAATTGCCAAAATGGGGCTAATAGACGGGGTAATTGGGCGCGGAAGAAACAAGGACGGGTGAAGGCTGAGTGAAGTGTTCTACAGTGGAGTAACAGGATCAGACTGTTCGAGAAACTTATGAAAACAAAGTATGTTTTAATTATTTATTGTTAATTGTTTCAAATTATAATTAAATTAGGTAATGTCTTTTTTTATGTGAAACCTTCTCGGGGGTTTTAACTCGTCGCGTCAGAACTTGTTTGATTCACAGGCCGGAACGCGTTCAGGCCAATGTCGACTCTAAGCGTTCAGAAATTTCTGCAATACATTGCAGTTGTTTTTATGTTTTAGAATTTTTGTGTTATATTTTGTATTAATTTTTATATATTTTTGGTCGCAATTTTGGTGGCTATTTTTTACTTTTAGCAGTAATGCGACAAAGCTCTCAGTGATCGAAAAACCGAAAAATTGAAACATTAATTTATCGAAGAATAAAAAATTAAAAAAATCGAAATATTAAAAAAACAGACATTGAAAAGTTCCCAAAACTGATAATGTTGAAAAAATTGATAAATCGAAAACTTGAAAAATCGAAAAGTCGAAAAATTTTTAAATCGAAAAACTTTAATAAACGGCAAAATTAAAAATCGAAAAATTCAAAAATAGAGACATTGAGGAACTCGAGGAAAACAAAAAAAAAAACAAGAAAATCCAAAACAAAAATTAAAAAAAATCGTGATCGATAAATCGAGATTTTGAAAAATTGAAAAATCGAAAATTGAAAAATTCGGAAGATGAAAAATTGAAATATAGAAGAACTGAAAACTCGAAAAATCGAAAAACCTTAAATTTTAAAAATTGGAAAGGTAGAATATCGAAAAGTTGATAAATTGAAAAATCGAATTATAAAACAGTCGAAAAATTGAAAAATGTAAAGTTTAAAAAACGAAAAATTGAAAATCCTCGAAAGTAAAATGTCAAGAAATAGAAAAATCCGGAACTTGAAGAATCGAAAAGTCGAAATACTAGAAAATCCCAAAACTCAAATATCGAAAAATTGAAAAATACAAGAAAAATAGAAGAATCGAAAAACGGAAAAAATCACAAAATTGAACGATATATCCAAAAATTGGGAACTATAAAAAATTAAGAAATCGAAAATTAAAAAAAGAAAGTCCAAAAATCACAAACTTCAAAAATTGAAAAATTGAAAAATTGAAGAACTTAAATATCGAAACTTCGGGAAAATCAAAAAATAGATTCATTGATAAATCGGAAAACTGAAAATTCAGACCTGTCAAAATTTGAAAAATAAAAAAAAATGAAAAACTGAAAAATCAACAAATCGAAAAATCGAAAAGCCGAAAAGAAAAAAATCGAAAAACCGACAAACCGAAAAATGGAAACATCGAAAAATTCAAAAACTGAGACATCAGAAGTCGAAAAATCAAAAGAACGAGAAATCGAGGAGTTGAAAAGTCGAAAAGTTAGAAATTCGGAAAATTAAAAAATTAAATTATAAAAGAATGAAAACTCGTGAAATCGAAAAATCTAGAATTTTAAAAGTTGAAATATCGTATAATCCAGAACTCGAAAGATCGAAAAATACTGAACAATCCCAAAACTGAAAGAAATATCTGAAAATCAAGAAATCGGAAAATTGAAAATTCAGAAACGTCAGAATTTGAAGAATTGAAAAATGGAAAAGTCGAAAAATCTAAAATCTATAACATTGAAAATTAAAAATATCGTAAAATTGAAAAATGGACAAATCTAAACATCAAAAAATCATTGAGAAATCGGAAAACTGAAAATTCAGACCCGTCAAAATTTGGAAAATAAAAAAATATTGAAGAACTGAAAAATCGAAACATGGGAAAATTCAAAATCTGAAACATCGAGAAATCGAAAAATCAGCAGAACGAGAAATCGAGGAGTTGAAAAGTCGAGAACTTGAAAAATTGAGAAACCGAAGTAGGCCAAAATCGAAAATCAAAAAGTTAAAAATTCGAAAAATTGAAAGTAAAATATAAAAACTCGAGAAATCGAAAAGTCGAAGAAACGAAATATTGAACAATCTCAAAATTGAAAGAAATATCCAAAAATTGAGATATCGAAAAACCAAAAAAGCAAAGTCGAAGAATTGAAGAACAGAAACATCGAAACTTGAAGAAGTCGAGAAATAGGAAAAAATCAAAAATAGATTAATTGAGAAATCGGAAAACTGAAAATTTAGTAACGTCAAAATTTGAAAAATTGAAAAATAGAAATACTGAAGAACTGAAAAATTAAAAAATCGGGAAATCGAAAAAGATAAAATTTAAAACATTGAGCAACTAAAATATCGCAAAATTGAAAAATCGAGGAGGCTAAACATCAAAAAATAAAAATTCGAAAATCTAAAATTTAAAAATCGACAAATCGCGAAATCGAAACTCCACAATTTAAAAACTTGAAAAATTGAAAATTCGAATAACTGAAAAATCGAAAAATTGAAAAGTCCCAAAGTCAAAAATTGGAAAATCGAAAATTAAAAAATTCAGAAAATTGAAACATTAAAATATGGAAGAACAGAAAACTCGAGAAATCGAAAAACCATAAAATTTTAAAAACTGAAAAATTAAAACATCGAAAAGTAGAAATTTTGAGAAATCGAAGTCGAAACTGAAAATTTGGCAACGTCAAAATGTGAAAAAATAAAAAATAGAAATACTGAAGAACTGAAAAATCAAAAAGTCGGGAAATCGAAAAAGCTAAAATTTAAAACATTGAACAATTAAAATATAGCAAAATTAAAAAATTGAGAAGTCCAAACATCAAAAAATAAAAATTGTAAAATATAAATTTAAAAATCGAAAAATGAAAAATCGACAAATCCCGAAATCGAAACTCCAGAATTTAAAATATTGAAAAATTGAAAATTCGAATAACTGAGAAATCAAAAAATTGAAAAGCTCAGAAGTAAAAAATCGTAAAACCGAGAAATCCAAAAATCGAAACACCGAAAAATTGATAAACTGATGAATCGAGAAATTCAGCAATCGAAACATCTGAATTCGATAAATCGAGAAAAAAGAAAAATTGGAAAATTGAAAATTAAAAAATTCAGATAGCAAAATTAAAAAATTGAGAAGTCCAAACATCAAAAAATAAAAATTGGAAAATATAAATTTAAAAATCGAAAAATGAAAAATCGACAAATCCCGAAATCGAAACTCCAGAATTTAAAATATTGAAAAATTGAAAATTCGAATAACTGAGAAATCAAAAAATTGAAAAGCTCAGAAGTAAAAAATCGTAAAACCGAAAAATCCAAAAATCGAAACACCGAAAAATTGATAAACTGATGAATCGAGAAATTCAGCAATCGAAACATCTGAATTCGATAAATCGAGAAAAAAGAAAAATTGGAAAATTGAAAATTAAAAAATTCAGAAAATTGAAACATTGAAATATAGAAGAACAGAAAACTCGAGAAGTCGAAAAACGATAAAATTTTAAAAACTGAAAAATTAAAACTTCGAAAAGTTGAAAAATTGAAAAATCTGGAGTTTAACGAAAACTTGAAAATCCGAAAAGTAAAAAATCTAAATATTGAAAAATCCCAAAACTGCAAGAAGTATCCAAAAAAATTTAGAAATTCAAAATGGGAAAATTGAAAAATCGAAGAATTGAAGAATTGAAAAAGTGAAAAATCGGAACTTTGGGATGTCGAGAAATGGGAAAATAAAAAAGATTACTTCAGAAATCGGAAAACTGAAAATTTAGAAACGTCAAAATTGGAAAAATTGAAAAATCGAATAATCCAGAAGTCTAAAGATCGAAAAGTCCAAGAAACGAAATATTGAACAATCCCAGAACTGAAAGAAATATCCAAAAATTGAGAAATTATAAAATTGGAGAATTGAGAAATCGAAAAACCAAAAAAGCAATGTCGAAGAATTGAAGAACCGAAAAATCGAAACTTGGAGTAGTCGAGAAAGCGAAAATCAAAAATAGATTCATTGAGAAATTGGAAAAGTGAAAATTTAGCGACGTCAAAATTGGAAAAATTGAAAAATAAAAATACT